AGGAGGAGGAGGTGAAGGAGGAGGAGGAGGCGGAGGAGGATGAGGAGGAGAAGAAAGAGGAGGAGAAGGAAGAGGAGGATGCAGGTGAGGAGAGAAGAAGGATGATGATGAGGAGGAGGAGGAGGAGGAGGGGGTGACAATGATGATGATGGTGATGAAAATGAAGATGAAGATGAAAATGAAGATGCTATGATGATGATGATGCTGATGATGATGATGGTGGTGGTGATGATGATGGTGATGGTGATGATGCTGATGATGATGAAGGTGGTTGTGATGATGATGATGATGATGATGATGATGATGATGATGATGATGATGATGATGATGATGATGATGATGATGATGATGATGATGATGGTGGTGATAATGGTGATGATGGTGATAATGATGATGGTGACGATGGTGATGATGCTGGTGATGTTGATGGTGATGATGTCGATGATGCTGATGGTGGTGATGATGACGCTGCTGCTGATGTTGATGTGTATGATGAACTTGATGCCGGTGATGTTGGTGTCGATAATGATGATGAGTATGAGTATGAGTATGAGTATGAGTATGAGTATGAGTATGAGTATGATGATGATGATGATGATGATGATGATGATGATGATGATGATGATGATGATGATGATGATGGTGATGATGCTGATGCTGATGCTGGTGATGATGGTGATGGTGATGCTGATGGTGATGATGACAATGCTGATGATGATGATGATGATGGTGATGATTATGATGAGTATGATGATAATGATGGTGGTGGTGATGGTGATGGTGATAATGATGCTGATGATGATGACGACGATGATGGTGGTGGTGATGATGATGGTGGTGATGTTGATGATGCTGATGATGTTGATGATGATGAGGAGGAGGAGGAGGTGAAGGAGGAGGAGGAGGAGGAGGAGGAGGAGGAGGAGGAAGGGGGGAGGAGTGCAGGTGAGGGAAGAAGGAGAAGGAGGGGGAGGGAAGGTGAGGGAGGAGGAGGAGGGGGAGGAGGAGGGGAGGAGGCAGCCAGCAAGCAGCAGCAGCAGCAGGAGCAGGAGGCGGAGGGGGAGGAGGAAGGAGGAGGAGGAGGCGGGAGGAGGAGGAGGAGGAGGAGGAGGAGGAGGGAAGGTTATTGGGAGGGAGAGGGAAACCATCGCCCCAGGAGGAGGAGGAGGAGGAGGAGGGAGGAGGAGGGGAGTAGGGAGAAGGAGGAAGGAGGAGGAGGAGGAGGAGGAGGAGGAGAGGAAGGGGAGGAGGAGGAGGAGGAGGAGGAGGAGGAGGAGAGAGGGAGGAGGAGAGGAGGAGTGAGAAACGAGGGCGGAGGAGGGAATAGGAGGAGGAGAACGGAGAAGGAGGAGCAGGAGGACAAGGGAGGAGGAGGAGGAGGGAGGAGGAGGAGGAGGAGGAGGAGGAGCAGAAGGAGAAGGAAGAACGGGAGACGAGGAGGAGAAATAGGGAGAGGAGAAGCAGCGGTAATCAGACGGACCGGAAGAATGGCAGGGAGAGAGAGGAGGAGAGGGGAGGGTGTGGAGACTATGGAAACTAGAAGAGAGAGGAGGAGGAGGAGGAGGAGGAGGAGGAGGAGGAGGAGGAGGAGGAGGAGGAGGAGAAGGAGGAAGAGGAGGAGGAGGAGGAGGAGGAAGAGGAGGAGGAGGAGGAGGAGGAGAAGGATGGGTTGAGGGCACGGAGCGTCGAGGGCGGGGAGAGAGGGGGCGCACCGCAAGGCCTTCCCACGGCTCCCCGCGCGCGTGGTGGGGGCGACGGCGAGACGGAGCGAGAAGGGAGGCATCCGGAGAGGCCACAGTGGGGGCATAAGATTAACAAACAATGCTGTTAAGAACTCCAGCGTCACATCATTCGTCGACGCTGAGCGTCGTAGGGTGTCCCCAGGCTCTGCGGGCCTGTCGTGGGGCAGTAAATGATCGTGGGACACCCGTTGGGGCCCGTTGCCAGGCCAGTTTCTTACTCGGTGGAGGCCAACCAGATGGAGCCGATTGGTTCCAAACAGACTTACCCCAGCCAGACTGACCGAGGGTCCCGCTGGAGTCCCACGAGGCGGAGAACCTTGGCTCCAACAGACATGCGCGTTGCACTACTCGCAGAGTAGCTACTCGCAAATGGCCTGGATCCATTGCGTCGAAGCAAAGAGGCTCCATTGCATCGAACAACATTTGTGTTTTGGACGTTTGCGAGGAGGCACTCTGCGAGTAGTGGAACGCGGTCGGTGGGAGGCTGAGTCCAGCTGGAGTTCCACCAGATGGAGCCCCCTCATTTTTTTCGGCGGTGGACAAACCTCCCTTTAGCAAACCTCCCTTTGGTGAAGACGGCCTGGGACCGAAACCGACGGACCTGGACCCGCAAAAAGGCCGGCCGCGACGCCCTCTCGCGAACCGAAGACGGCCAATTCGCTCATATCGACGCGTCAGGATAGGAGCTCTGCCCACCCCCGATTCTTGTGCCAGGAAACCCGGTCGCTCCATCCGGGCCTGCCCAGACCAGGCTTGGCGAGCGCCGCCTGAGGGGAATCGGGACCGGCCAAGAGGGGGGTGTCCAAGAGGGGGGGGTGCAAATCATGACCGGTGGCATGTGCGCGGCCCAGCGGGGGGGCCAGGAACGTAATGAAATAAGAAGAGGCGCCATGAAATCTGGGGAAATATCATGGCCGACGCCATGATATCCACCCCCCCCTAGTCATCACCCCCCTCTTTTCCGCCCCCGAGGGAAGACTCCCAGCGACTCGACCACACATCTCGCCGGCACTGGCTCGGCCCATCTCTCTCTCCGGCGTCCGGCGGCCGCCCCTGCAGAACCCCCCCTGGGGCCGTCGAGCGACGACCCAGGCTGGTCTTAGTTCGGGCCTGTCCCCCCCCCCCTACAGGTGGATGTTGGACGAAGAATTACAGATATTTAAAAAAATCTCAAGAATGATCCAAAATGGGGATAGAAAAAAAAAATCCCCAGACAAGTTTTGGACTATTTTTGAACATTCCCCCTGTAGAGGGACAGGCCCGACTTACACCCTGCGAAATGCTTAAGAAATCATGGGTTAAGAAATTCATAGTCTCAGAACTTGAATAAAAACCCAACATTTCCATTCAAATCTGAAGATTTGCACTGAAACGTTAAGAATACTCGAGACTCTGGCCGAAAACGTAGGTTTTCTTAAGCATCGCCACAGGCGTAAGGCTGGTCTCGTGGAGGGGAGGGGGGGGGGGGCAGAGCCCCAGGGGCCCGGCAGCTCGACGGAGCTCGCGCCGTCGGAGGCCCTGGGTGACGGGGGCAGGCTGCGGGGTTGCCCGCCGCCCGGGGGGGCCTACGGCCAGGCACTGCTGCTTGGCTGGAGGCATCCCAGATTGACTACCTACCAGACCACCCAAACCCAACCCGAGGACCCGAATTTCGGGTTGGGGGGGTACGGGTTCCATACCTGTTTTTTCGATGTTCCCCGACCCCCCCCCCACTGGAAATGGAGGGCAAATCGAGGCCTTCGGGTTGGGTTGGGGTGGTTTGGTAGGTGGTAATAGATGGGGTCGGAGCAGATGCGGTCAGAGGATCGCGCCGCATCGCCGATGCATCGGCGATGCTGCATCGGCGATGCATCGGCGATGCATCGTCGACGTGGGCGATGCATCGGCGACGTCGACGTGAAGCAAATCGAGCTCCACATCGAACCGCATCGGCGATGCATCGGCGATGCGGCGCGATCCTCCGACCCCATCCACTCGGCGCGATCCTCCGACCCCATCCACTCCGACCCCATCCGGGAGGACTACGTCAGGCTCGTGTCGTGCAGACTTCGGCGCTGGTTTCTGACACCGCGGGGATCGTTCAACCTTGAACCATCAGCTGCGTACGAAACGTCCAAATCGTTCCAAATCGAACGACTATGGGTCGCCCGCGGCGTTCGAAGTTGACAACGCCGCTGAAGGGGGCGCCGCAGGTCGACACGACACGAGCCTACCGCAGAGTGGCGCGTCGCGGCAGCGGCCCCGGCGGCACGCTGTGCCCGGCAGGCGGGCGGCGGGCCGGCCCCGCTCCGCGGGGGCGGGAGGCTCGGAGAGAGGCTCGGGATGCTGCCCGCCGGGGGCCGGGACGCGGCCTCGGCGCGTCGCGCCCGAGCGCGGCGGGCCCCAGAAGCCCGCGGCGCGGCACGCGGAGCCCTGAGCTCCTGGCCGCTCTCGCGCCGCGCACCCGCGCGGCCTCGCCGCCGTCTCGCGGCGAGGCACGCGGTGCTCTTGCTCCGCCGAAGGTCTGGAGCAGAAGAAGGCAGAGCGCCACGAGCATGCACTGTTGGCGCTGCGCGCTGATTGCTTGGACATGCGCTGGACCCCCCCCCTCCCCGGCGCGCGGAGCGCGCCAGGGGCTGCGCCGGAGGCGCCGACGGGGGGGGGGCCGTGCGCCGATCCAAGAAATCCGCGCGGAGCGCCAAAAGTTTATGCTTATGTGTATGGCCTTGGTGCATCTTGAAAACGCCCTGGGCGTTTCTTTAGAGCTTCTAGCTTTCGTTTCAAAAAAACACCTTTCTTCTAAGATAGTTTCTGGCTCCCGTTGTTTTGTCGTTTCCAGGCCTCCGAGGCGATGCGCCTCCGATGCACCATAACTGATGGCGCTTTCTCTTCGCCGATGGGCATGGAGAACGGCAGGAAAGGAAGGAAGAAGGAGCAGGAGCAGGCGCAGGGGAAGCAGCAGCAGCAGCAGCAGCAGCAGCAGCAGCAGCAGCAGGGACGCCCGAGCGCCGAGAGGTGCCCCCCTGGACCCCGACCTGGGGCGGCCCCGGGGAGAGGCCCCGAGCTCGGCCAGGAGCGGCCCGGGGGGGGCCACGGGCGCGCAGCGTGGGCCCCCCTCTCTTCGCGAGGCGGGCGGGCGGGGCTCGAACTGGCTGCGCAGCCGTTCGGCCGCTCGCGGGCGCACGGGCGGGCCGCCTCACGCGGCCAGGGCCCCCTGGCGCAGGGCGCGGCGCTTGCGCGCCTGCAGGAGCGACGCGGCCGTCTCGTCGCTCAGGATCGCCAGGGCTTCCTTCAGGCCCTTTATCTCGGACTCGCGACGGGCCTTGCGCTCCTCGTACGTCTCTGGCTTGGCAATGCAGCGCTCGTTCACCTTGGAGAAATACTCCAGCACCGACGACAGCTCCGCGTTGGTGGACGCGCGGTCGGCGGATAGCTCGTCGACGTCCTTGTCCAAGCCCTTGAACTCTTGCACCTTGTATGTCACGTCCTGGCTCTTCGTGGCCGCGGACACCTTGATCTCCTGCGTCCTGGCGTCGTACGACGACAGCGCGTCCGCCTCCGTGGCCTCCTCGTCGGCAAGGTTCTTCGCGAAGTCTGACTCCACGACCTCCAGGATGTCGATTATACTGCCGCCTGCGCCTGCGGCCTTGCTGTGGAACACCGGCTTCGCTGGCTGCTGGCTCTGGAGCATGGCGGCACCATCGCCCTGGTAGTACTTGCGGAGGATCGAGAGCGCCTTACCCACGCCCTCGAGGCCAAGCTCGAGGTCGGATTTGGCCTGGAGGTAGCCTGCGTGCTGGTCAGAGCGGATCTGATCCATCTCTGCCTGCTCCTTTGCAAGCGAGGCCAGCTCCGTCTGCAGCGTCTTCACCTCCTCCTTGAGCTTGGCCGAGTTCGCGCTCTTGGTGTCGATCTTGGAAGTCAGCCTGGCGATGTCATCCTCGAGCTCCGACTTCTTCGCTTCGGTCTTGGCAATTTGCTCGTCGCAGTAGGCCTTCTCGGTCGCGGCGGCGTCAGCCTCGGCCTCTAGCTTCTCGATCATGTCCTTGACCCGCAGGCTCCATAAGCCAAGCGGCGTATACGACCTTCTTTCCTGGGGAGGCCTCCTCTGGGGATGATTCGAGAGCCTCTGAAAACCAATCCGACATGCCCTGACTCCCCCCAGCAGCTCCCAGCCGCTATAGTACGCTCCCACGTGCTCCGCGCGGTATCCTGACGGTCCCCGCGCGGTCCAGACAGCCTCAAGCACCATCCATGGGGCGCGCAGGACCCAAAGACGCGCCCGAGAGCCCCCAATGCCCAAGACAGCCCCAAACCCTGACCGGACGAGAACGGACACAGCACCGCTTCTGCCCACTGGGCGCGTGCAACGGAGAAGCAAAAAGATGGGCGAGGAGGGCGACGAGGAGGCGGACGACGAGGGCAGCGTCGAGGACGAGGGTAACGGGCGGAGGAGAAGGAGGACGGCGAGCAGGAATAACGTGCACAAAGGGCGAGGAGAGGAAGAGGCACGAGGAGGGCAAGCACGAGAGCCCGGAGGACGACCAGAGCGACGAGGGGCAGGAGGGCGACGGCGTGAAGACTCCTCCTCCTCCTCCTCCTCCTCCCTCCTCCCTCCTCCTCTCCTCCCTCCTCCCCCCCTCCTCCCCTCCCCCCCCCTCCCTCCCCCCTCCTCCTCTTTCCCCTCCTTTCCTCCTCCTCCTCCTCCCCTCCTCCTCCTCCCTCCTCCTTCTCTCCTCCTCCTCCTCCTCCTCCTCCTCCTCCTCTCCTCCTCCTCCTCCTCCCTTTCCTCCGCCTCCTCCCCCTCCTCCTCTTCCTCCGCCTCCTCCTCCTCCCGTGGAGGACAGCCTGGATGAGGAGGGGGGAGAGCTTGCTCGACGACGGCGTCGCGCTGGGCGTGCTCGGTCTCGATCTGGCAGGCTCGGGCGGATGGCACGATGGACCTATAGGCCAGGAACGAGAGAAGAGAGGACGGAGGGGGGCGACGACGAGGACAAGTGGGGCCAATGCGGGAGTTGACGAGGCCGACGCGGGGGACGACTAGAAGAAAGACAGCGTGAAGAACGGCGCGGAAAGACAAAAGGGTGGACAGTACGGAGGACGAGAGGGAGGACGAGGTGGGGGTCCTGGAAACCTTTCGGGGCTGCACTGGAGGCTGCTGGGACTAACTGTTGTGGGGGTTATACAGTCGGGGCGTTGACCTAAGGAACCCTAAATAAGGAACGAGGCCCCTATTTTCCATAAGTTAAGCTTCGATTCCAGATCGAAAACCTGAGGAAAAACCTGAGGCAGGCTGTGAAACAGTCAAGGAACACCGAGCCCCTCCCCAACGAAGAGGGTTCCTTCTCCAGGGCCCCGACTGCAGAGCCTTCGTGGGCTGTCTTGGCGCGCCTCGCTTATGGAGCCTTGCGGGGGGCTCCCATGGGCCGTCGCGGCGCCCCCTCCCGGGCCACAGCGCGGCTCTCCTGAAGCACATGGGGGCCTTTGGGGGGCCCAAAAATAGGGGGCAAACAAACCTACCTCGCTTTTGACCATCCTCGCTTCCAAGAGATACCAAGCGATGCCAAACTACGGCCTGTACTGGTCAGGCCGCTTGACGAGGAGGCGCGTGGTATGACTTGGTTTTGCCTGGAAGCGAAAGCGGGGTAGGTAATTCACGCTCTGACAAAAGCAACAAGCTCTGGGCTGCCGTATGGCCCCGCTTCGGAGCCGTCCTGGGCCACGAGAGCGAACAAAAAACAAAACGCGGGCGATGATCGCGAAGCGCCGTGAATCAACCCTTTGACTTTCACGAAGGGATCTTCCCCAGCGCCACCGCCGTACTGCATGAGCGCTGTGATGCGCGATGCCAGCTGTGCAAGGGCCTCGGAGTGGTGGTCTTTGGCCAGCCTCTTGACGAAGCGGGCCACCTCGGCGCCCTTCAGGTCTGCACCAGTGCGCAGGTGCGAGCTCTCCCCCTGGATGAAGGAGTACGTCTGCTCCACGGCGCCAGAGCTTGTCTCCATAAGCACCTTTTTCGCGGCGGCGATCGTGTTCAGCTCGGCAGTGCGACCTGCGGTGGAAGCATCGTGGTCTGTCGCCAATTTCATGCAATCGGCCTGCGTTGCCGCCCTCGCTGCCTCCGTGTCCTTGAGCAACTTCGTGGTCGTTGCAAGATCCGCGGCGGCAGTCGCTTTCGCCTCCTCAGTGTCAGACTTGAACGCCTTCTCCTCGTTCAGCTCCTTCGTGTTGTAGGCAACCTCATCCTCCAGGCTCTGCTTCAACAGGGCATAGTTTTGTTTAGTGTTCGACTCCTCCTTGCGCAGGGTGGCGAGCTGCTCCTCGGCCTTTGCCTTAAGATCCTCCAGGACGTCCAGGATCCCTGTGCTGTGCGTTTTGTAGGCTGCTGGGTCAGGGGCACCAGACTCGTCCGACTCAGCGGCATCCCGCTGCTCCTGCACAAATGCAATGAGCCTGTCCTTATCGGCTCCCCCGAAGGAAGCAGCGTCCACAATTGTGCTGAGAGCGCTGACCAAACCGGCCACGCTTGAGACATCCATCTGCACGAAAGCTGCGGGGTTCTTCGCCATGTCCTTGGAGATGATGTCGATCGCGCGCGACAGGGCGCTCAGAGCGTCCGTGAGCTCTGCTTCGCCGGCTGAGAAGTCGGCTGCTTCCTTCTTGCGAATCAGCGCGGAGTCTGTCAGCTCCCCCTCTGCCTTCGCGATCTTGCCCGCCAGGTCCTCGATCTTGCCTTCGGCCGCCTCGATATCGCTGGTGGCCTTCGCGATCGTGGCCCCGAGCTCGCTGCTCTTGGTGGTGGCGGTGTCGATGTCGTACTTCTGATTCGAGGTCGTCTCGTCGCACCACTCCACGTACCTGTGGAACGCCTCAGGGGACCCTCGCTTCGGGCGCACGCCAGCATGGATTACGGATCTGTGGAGCCGGCGCGAGGAGGCCGGATCCGCGGATCGGGAAATACCCCCCGAGACGTGACGTTGGCGCTTCCTCGATCGCTACTACCCACCAGTCGCAGGCCGCCACCCCCCCCTCCTCCCGCTCCCCCCCCCCCCATCCCTCGCGGGGGGCAAGGGAGGAGAAGGGGGAGGGGAAGGCTAGGAGGCCACTCTCCGGAGGTCTTCGTGAGAACGATCAATGGATGCTGAGCCCGATTAAAAGGGGGGTCATGAAGCCGGATCAGGCCGCATGGAGCGGAAATTCGCTGCTCGTTCGGCCCAGAGATATGCCCTCCTCCTCCTCCTCCTTCTCCTCCTCCTCCTCCTCCTTCTCCTCCTCCTCCTGCTTTCGTTTGAAAAATGTGCAACACCTTCACACATGGAGGGCAGGCGGTTTTCAAAATGTGGCTCTCGCCTCAGCGCCGCGCACATTCTTTCCCAAAAATTGCAAGAGCTTCACAGATTGAGGGCGGTTGGCTTTCGAAATGTGGCTCTCGCCTTAGCACCGCGCACACTCGTACTTTAACTGTATAAGAGTTTCACGGATTGAGGGCGGGCCGTTTTCAAAATGTGGCTCTCGCCTCAGCGCCGCGCACATTCGCTTCAAACATTTGCAAGGGCTTCACGGATTGAGGGCGATTCCTTTTCAAATGTGGCTCTCGCCTTGGCGCCGCGCACATTCGTTTGTACAATGTGTAAGAGTTTCAAAGATTCCCATGGTCAACGTACCAAAAATGGTGTTTGGAAGGATTCAGGATCATGCGGGTGCAACAACTATGTTGATCCGCGGTGTTGACGTCCCACAAATGACGCGCTGGCACGATTCCGGATCGTCAAGACGCAGTCAGGTTGATACGTGGCGTTGAATTCCTCCCGAGAACAATGTTTGGGCATGCTTCAGGATATTCAAACGGTTGTCTTCCAACGAGGCAGTTCCCCCAATGGACATGAACCGTTGTAGGGGCCTGCGAAGAGGAATCTTGGAGGGAGGGTAAATTGCAACATCGTTGATGACTCTTGGGTTTACACTGGTCCTCCTCCTCCTCCTCCTCCTCCTCCTCCTCCTCCTCCTCCTCCTCCTCCTCCCCCTCCTCCTCCTCCTCCTGTAGCGGTGCTTAGCCTGCAGCTTGCCGATACGGAACGGATCCTGCCAAGTTTCTCCCAAGGGTGTGGGGAATGGGGGGGGAGACCGGACTCGCGGTTGCCGCGGGGGAGCCTTGTCCTCGGCGACCCCGTCCGCGATGAGCTTCGCCGCCAGGGAGTCCATGAGTTCGACGACCTTGCCCAGGGGATTCGACTGGCTGGCGGTCGCGCCGCGCACGCCTGCGAGCGCGAGGATGGAGAGCACGACGAGACCCTTCATTGCTGCTTGCGCGCGTCCGCGGGCAAAGGGGCGGGGGGGCACCGAGAGGCGGTCCAGGCGAGGCAACTCGAGCCCAGGCGACGACGAACGACGACGACGACGACGACGACGACGACGACGACGACGACGACGACGACGACGACGGCGACGGCGACTACGACGACGACGGCGACTACGACGACGACGACGACGACGACGACGACGACGACGACGACGACGACGACGCCGCGCAGCAGCGCTGTGGAGTGAACGCGAGTGCGCACGTGCGCGGAGGAAACCATCAACGGGGCACGAGCCCGTGCGTCGTGGGGCCATCGGGCCGCGGAGCCTCCTGCGAGGAGAGGGGAGGGACCAGGGAGGCAGGCGGGGAGGAGGAGGGCAGGCGGGGAGGCAAGGAGAAGGGGGGGAGGGGGGCGAGGAGGGCAACGAGGAAGAGCATCGGGCGAGAGCGGGGGCGTCAGGGAGGGCAAAGCAGGACTGCGAGGAGGATGTCGAGGAGGGTCGAGACGGCGAACGGACGGTGTCGATGAGGAGGTCCACGGTGAGGGAGGACGAGGAGAACGAGTCGCCAGCACCGCCGCGCCCGGCCACGGCAGACGCCGGCGCGGCCAGCTGCGAAGGAGGAGGTGGTATCAGGAGGTAGATAACGGCACAAGGCTGAGCAGCCCCTTGCACTTGGTGCGGTGCTGCCTCCCCGGAGGCTGGGGCCACCGCAGTGCGGGGCTGACTGGTGATGGCGCCGTGGAGCTCCAGGACATTTTGCTGAAGGGGGCGGCGGAGGCTCGTTTCGCGTGGGAGGCGGGTGCTTGGCGCGCAGTGCAGCAGCACACCCTGTGCCAAAACCATCCAAAACCATCGCCATCGTCACCTGACGCCGATGCCGCCTCCTCCGGGTTTGCCCTAGAAGCCGTCAGTGCCTCGCTACTGGCCGAGACAGCTGAGCTGTTTGATGTGAACGCTAGGCTGCCTCAGCCCCCAGAGGTGTGCGGGTTCCCTTCTCTCTTGCCTCTGCTTACAATACTGCCTCTGGTTTCTATGTTTCTCTCTCTCTCTCTCTCTCTCCCGCTACCTAACTAGGGGTCAAGCCTTTCTGAGTCAAGCTGGCCAACCTTCGTCAGGACCCACCAGGGGTTCCCCCCCGCCCTGTGCTGGACTGGTTCCCGCCGTCGCCGCGCAGCAGTTGCGCGGCGGCGGGGGCCCGCTGCGCGCTGCGGAATGGCGCTTGGCGCGCAGTGCAACACATCCTGTGCCCAAAGCGTCGCCATCGTCACATGACGCCAATGCCGCCTCCGCCCTCCTCCGGGCCTACCACAGAATCCCGACGTGTGGTTACTGCTTCGCCGCTGGCAAGAACAGCCGACGACGACGACAACGGCGACGACGAAGAAGACGACACCGACAACGAACACAACGACGACGACGACGACGACGACGACGACGACGACGACGACGACGACGGCAGCAGCGGCGCCGGCGCCGATAATGCACAACGACGGCTACGACAACGACAGCGACAACGACACCTGCGACAACGACGACGGCGACGGCGACGGCGACAGCGACGGCGAAAGCGACGGCGACGGCGACGGCGACGGCGACGGCGACGGCGACGGCGACGGCGACGGCGACGACGACGACGACGACGACGAAGACGACGAAGACGACGGCGCCGGCGACGGCGACCACCATCAAAGCGGCGAAGGCGCCGCCGCCGTCACGGACGAGGGGGGCGGCGGCGGCCGTCCTCGAAGAACCGCACGCGGACTCGGAGGCTCAGAAGCGGCGGGGAAACCGCTTCAGCCGCCGCGCCGCGGCCGCGGGGGCGGGCGCCGCCTGGGCGTCCGCCGCGCGGGCGTCCTCTTGGGCGGCCCTTGCAGCCCGCAAGGCCAGCACCTCTTGCCGGGGAAGGAGGCGGGCGATGGGAGCCGCACACACAGACACACACACACACGCACACATATATATATATATATATATATACACATACATATATGTGTGTGTATGTTAGCCAACGTGGACCCCAAACAACGGCTTCTGACTTACAGGCTAGATGGCGCAATTCGTGCGGCGCAAGCTGCGATTGCAAGCTACCTGGCGCAAGCCACGTTGCGCAGTCCGCGTAATGCAATCCGCGTCTTGAGCCGTAGCGGCGCAATCTATGCAATACGGGTGCCGCGGAGAACGTTTCATGCAGCTTATGCAGTAAGAGCCAACGTACTCATATATGTGGTGTAACGTGCATGGTTGAAGCAACGTGTCGAAACCACTGTAGTAGGAGCTAGCGCACTCATTTAAGTGGTGTGAAGTATGCGATGTAACCCATGTGGCGCCGTCTACTTGGTAGGAGCGAACGCACGCATCTATGTGGATCGAGCTATTTGGTTTAAACGATATGGCGAAATATCTGTAATAAGAACTAACGTACTAATCGGTGTGGTGTGAGCTACGTGGTGTCCGCGATTTGGTGCAAGATTTGTGGTTTGAGCTACCGCATTCATCCATGCGGCGTGAGCCACAGGGTGCACTCGACGTGACGCTGTCGATGTGGCAGGACCTATCGTACTCGTTTCAGTGGTGCGAGCTACGTGGTGTCAGGCATGTGGTGCTGGTTACGTGGCAGGAGCTAACGCACCCATCGATGTGGTGTGACTCCTGTGGCGAAAGCGGAGTGGTGCGATCCGTGTGGCAGGAGCGGAGGAAGGCGGAACTGCGGAGGTATAATGCGACACACTTATGGTATATTTGCTGTCTGAGCTGCTTCACGAGGCAACGCAGAAGGAGAAGCGGCGCCTGGAAGTCGCAGCAGAGCTTGGATCTGCGTTCGCTGCTGTGAGCGACTGTCTTTATCGCTCTGCAGGGGCGTTGCTCTGGGAAAGAATTCTCGCTGGACCAGACAACGACTGCCGTTGAGAAAAACAGAGCAGATGTCCGCTGCCCGGCCGAGGGCGCCCGCCTGTGTGGTAGGAGCCAGCGTACTCCTCTATACGTGGTGCGAGCTGCGTGGTGCAAACAACGCAATGCAATATGTGTGGTAAGAGCTAACGTGCTCATCGGGGGCAGTTGAAAGATAGTCAATACAGTACGTCTCAAGGAACCGTAAGCTTGCATTCCTCTTCCGCGGTGGCAGCGCAGGGCAGTGCTAAGCACGGCGTACGAATGCGAAGCAAGGCAGAGCAAGGCAAGGCAATGCAAAGCAACGCAACGCTAAGCAATGCAACGCACAGTGCTCTGATTTGCTATGCAAAACAATGCAAAGCACCGATGAGCAACGCAAAACAATGCGACGGCGACGGCGACGGCGACGGCGACGCCGAAGCATGGCGACGGGCGGCGTTGAGGCGGCGACGGGGCGGCGACGGCCGGCACGGAGCCGCCAGACCGACACACTGGCCCAGTCCTTTAGATCCGACACGAAGACCCCTGAGTGCAGGCAATGCCTGGGGAATATGTGTGTACGCACTCTGAGGTATGCAGCTCTCGCCCGAAGCATGGTGCGCAGATGCTGCTCAACGACTCACGCTCGCGAAACTGCCTCGAAGGATGCCCACCACACTGTGCCCGGTGGCTGCTGCGAACATAGCTTCGCGGTCGTGCTCCTGCCCCTGGGAGGAGGGGGAGGAGGAGGCAGCGGGGGAGCGGCCAGGGAGCAGCAGGGGCATCCCTCCTCCTCCTCCTCCTCCTCCTCCTGCGCCGAGCGGCCTCTCGGCCCCGCGCCTCTTTGGAGCCGCACGCACACGCGGGCCCCCCCGCCCCCAGCGAGCCCACCGCTGCGTCCCGTCGGCTCCGCTCCCGGGCCGCCACGACTCTGGCGGCGCGGCGGGTGCAAATCAAAGAAGCAAAAGCGGCACAAGCATGAGCTTTTGGCGCTCCGCGCGGATTTCCGGATCCGCGCTGGACCCCCCCCTCCCTGGCGCGCGGAGCACGCCAGGGGCGGCGCCGGAGGCGCCGCCAGGGGGGCCCAGCGCGGATCCAAGCAATCCGCGCGGAGCGCCAAAAGTTGATGTTTTTGTGCCGATGTTCTCCTTCGAGGGGAAAAAAAAACGTGATCGCCCCGGGCGCCGAGCGCCCAGCGCGAGCAGAGGGGGGGAGTGCTAGGTCGGGCAGGTCCCCCTACAGGTGGGCTTCGGAGGAAACAATAAAAATAGTTCAAAAATATGCACGAATGATCGAAAATGGTCGAAAAATCGTCCCCCGACTATTTTTTCACAATTCTTTCATATGCCTCCTGTAGAGGGGCATGCCCGACTTGAGGTGAGCGGGCGCCCGGGAGAAGATTCGGCTCACGCCGCGGCGGCCCGCTGGCCAGCCCCGCCCCCGGGCGCCGCCGCCCGCGCCGCGAAGTCCCGGAGGATCTGCTCCGACAGCATGCCCGCGCCCATCAGGACCTCGGGGCTTCGCAAACGGGGGTTTAGCTAAACGGGGGTTTAGGCTGTTCCTTCTGTCCCCGTTCACCGTACCCCCATCCATGGCGCCCAGGGCCCCCTGAACGGGGGCATGGCCAAACGTGGAGCTCGGCGTCCCCCGTGCCCCCCTTTGCTGTGCCCCCGTCTCTGGCGCCCTGAGGACCAGGGGCACGCCGTTCCCCGGGCGGGTCCCGGCGCCGACGAAGAAGAGGTCGTCCACCTGGATCGGCGACAGAATTGACAAAAACAAAAACAAAAAAAAACTGTACTTCCTCGTCGAGCCCCTGCGGAAAGTGCGTAGAGCAGTCAGTGTAGATGTAGGTCGGGCATGTCCCCCTACAGGCGGATTTTGGAAGAAAAAAATGCTCAAAACTTCTAAAACAAATCGTCCCCAGACTATTGTTTGACTATTTTAAGTTTCCCCCCTGCAGAGGGACAGGCCCGACTTAAGTGTAGATTTACCGAGCATTGCAGGCATGTTTCGTAGATTCGACGGGAAATCAGTTTTGGGGCAAGTCGATGGGGTGAATCGATTCTGTAGTCGATCCCCTACTCGAACCTCGTTCGAGCGAGGGGGAGGGCGGGTCATGGCGAGCTGGAACAGGTCGTGCGACAGCGAGAAGGTGGCGCCGTGCTCGAGGCCGTACAGCTCAAGGAGGTCCTCCGGGTCCCGCACAAACTCCTGGAGTAGGGAATCGACTACAGAATTGATTACCCAAAAATTGATTTGTTCGTTGAATCTGCGGAGAAAAATGCGTCCAATGGTAGTAGATCTACGAACTTGATTCGCATTGGTTGGGTCATTCGACGACAAAAACAAATTTTGGGATAAACCAATTCTGTAGACGATCCCCTACTCGAACTCCTCCACGATGTGCTCGCGGATCTTCCCAGCGCCAGACTCCTCGAACCGCCTCAGGATCGCCTCCCTCGCCGCCGCCTTCAGGTCTGCGTAGAGCTCGCCCTTCGTACCGGTGGGCTTCTTCCCGGCCTTCGCCATGTCCTGCAAATTGCCGACTGGGAAAAGGATCATCACGCTCTCTCCTCCGGCTGGGGCCGCTGTGGGGTCGGTCTGGCGAGGGCAGTGGACGTAGAAGTTCGGCTTCGAGCAGATGCCCGAGGTGGAGGTAATTGGTGTCCAAGCCTTCTTGGCCTCCACTGGGGCACCAAGATATATGCTGTGCTGCCTGAGGAAGGGCATCTCCGTGTCCAAAGCCCAGTAGAAGGCGATGATCCGCCGGCCGGCCCTCGGCACGGCGGGGCATGCTGCCCGACAGACCTGGGCCAACACGGGAATGGAAAAAGCGCTTCAGGAACTTTCCCGAGAGCGTTCATGGCACCGCTCGCTCGGAGCCTTGGAGCTGAGAGCTTTTTCACGTCACCGTTCGCTCTTGGGAGCCTCGGTGTGGGAAGCTTGTTCACGTCACCGTTTGCTCGTGGGAGACCTGGCGTTATTGAAGCTGCTGTGTCCATCACTGGGCCGACTGCAGGCGGTGTTCAAGGATCCCTCCCATCAGAAACCGCTATGGACATGGTTTTCAGGGACCCCTCCCACCAAAAACCTTGCGGAAATCCATGAATTGGGCTTCTCGGTACCTTCGGGGGGTCCATTAAGGGCCCTTGGGGCCGTTCTGGGGCTCTGTTAGGCCGTCTTGTATGGTTTTGGCCGTCTTGGGGCCCTCTTGGGGCCCTCTTGGGGCCCTCTTGGAACCTCTTGGAGCACTCTTGGGGCTCTCTTCGGGCTCTCTCAGGAGCCTCTTAGGGCCCTCTTTGGCCGTCTTCGGGCCCTCTTGGGCCATCTTGGGGCCCTCTTGGGCCGTCTTGGGGCCGCATTTGGGGCCTCTTGGGCCGTCTCGGGACAATTCTTGCGCCGTCTTGAGCCGTCAGAAGCCCAAAAAGGCGAGAATCCTACAGACCTCAAACACCTGAGAAAGATCTGTATGCTTGGCCTCCTGAGGCCCTCTCGGGGATCCTCTTGAAGGCCTCTTGGGCTGCCTTGGGGCCTTCTTGGACCAGCTTGAAGACACCTTTAGCAATCTTGGAACGCTATTGTGCGGTCTTGGGCTCTCTTGGAGCGCTCTTGGGACGTCTTGGAGCCCTCTTGGACCTCCCTTGGGCCGTATTGGGGGCCTCCTGGCCGCTTTGGGGTGCCTCTTGGGCAATCTTTGGGGGGGGGGGGGGGGCGTGTCACGCCGGCGGTCCGGGCGCGCTTCGCCCCTCCCCTGGAACCCCTCGCTAGAGGGCCTCCCTCGCCCCACCAAAAACGTCATCACTCGTGCAATCGGACCCAGGTCTTTCTGCAGCTCTGTCCGTCGCTGTCTGCAGCTTTCAAACAGCGGCGGCCCCCTGCCGGGGCGGACCCGGGTCCAGCTCCCGTCTCCGTCCCTCGCGCGCACCTGTCGGCCTGAGGGCGGGCCACGTACGGCCCACGGAGCCCCCAAGTCGGCTGCGGGGTGCCCCAAGACCAGCCCAAGTCACCCCGCGAGGGGACTCTTTCTATGAGCAGGGGCACGGCGCAGGACAACGTGCGCAACGGGTTGCGCCATAGGCTGCGTGAGCCATGCCGCACCCCCGCATGACGAGCTGGTCCGTTCTGCACCCCTGCGCCGCAGGCTGCGCCGTCGTCGGGCACACGCCAACACGGATGGGGGATCCGTGGATCTGGCGCCCAAACGCCACCTTCACTGATCGGGGAAAGTATCCCCCGAAACATGCCGCCAGTCCGGCCTGATCTGGCGAGACGGACAGCGTCGGGTCTCTGTGGAAGCGGGACCGGTTGCGGATCGACGCGCCTCAATCCATGGTTGCGCTTCCTGACATGTTTTGCGCCAGGCGACCCGCACCCCCGAATCGCAGGTTGGTCCCCCCATGCCCCGCCCCATTGCGCCACAGGTTGCGCCATGGGCAGGGCTCCCACAATTTCGGAACCACGAGTTGGTCCTCAGTACCCCATCTGAGCACTTGAAGGGCCCTTCTGGAATTCACGGCTTAGGAACGAAGCACATCCCCAAACAATGCTTGTACTGACCCTGCGCGTCGTAGTTTCCAAT